AGCAATTGCAGGGCTGAACCATAACCATTACACCACCAACATTATGGAAGCATAGCTGAACAACGGCGTTCCTCAGTTTGCAACATTGCTGTTATCAAGCCTCATCGGGGCTTGACTCCATACAGAGCCAATGGAGTATTTTGAAAGCATTTTTTGTAATAATAAATATAAATCACGTGGTGTAAATACATCCCCACGCCGGGTTACGCGCGTCATTCCCGTAACGTGAGCACGGCACCACGTGTCTCCGTGCGCGCGTGTGCCTCTCTAAAATAGGAGGCGCTCCCAACTACCGTTCCCCTCCTTCCCCCTCCCCCGCAACCCCGAGACCCACCGTGACCCCCACATCCTCTACCACCAACAACAACAACATGATGCATTATCTGTCCGCTGCTGGATGAAAACCTCATCGTTATCATCCCGATCCAGGCGCATGAAATCAGCCTGGAGCGGACGTTGATGGGCATCTGTGATAAAAAAAGAGCTTCAAAGCTCATCGGATTCCTCCAGTCTAAAGATTCTGATTCTGTTTCAGCTGGTGAGGCCCCATTGCGCTCAGCAGCTCTGTGACACGGATGACCACAGCCCAAGACCGTCGGCAAGTGGCGGCAGTTGCTGGAGGACATCGCAAGGAGGGAGCGTACAAGACCAAAAAACTCAACATTATTTACGCGAAACTCATGGCAGAACTTGCTACAAATGTCAGATCTTAGGCTGCATGGTGGAACCATTTGACGCATGATCGAGACACAGTCACGATAATCAAAATCATGTACTGTACCCAGATGATGATGATAACGATGTTGCGTTTGTCACGCACGAAGACGTCCCTATCGTTTCAGCGGCCAGAATTTTTCAAAACGTTTGCATTGTTGAGCAGACGCAACATCACCTTCAGACACGCCGGTGTTACCGAGCCATCTTATCGAGCTGCCACGGGCTCACGCGATTGTGGTGTGGCCAGAAGCACGCACGGCAGCCTTTGATGTTCCCCAGTGCTCATTTCAAAGCTGATTCGACCCTGAACTGGTTTCAAATATCGCTCACCGCCACCGCCAGGTACAATTTGAGCTCAACATGCGATTGGCGGAATAGGCCAAGACTATTTGAACAAATTTCACTCCATGGGGAGTGTTTGCGTCAAACAGTTTTCATTTATTGCAGTTTCATTTTCATTTATTTTGGTATAGCCCTGTGAGCCATTCGGCTCTTGAATCGGGTGCAACCACAACAAACACAAAAACGTGAACAAGAAAACATCTTAAAGTGACTATGTGACTGTGCAAACAGAAAATCCACGGGATTTACATCAGGTACATGTGTAGACGAGTAGTGGAGGACGTCATGTCACTCGGGGGGGGGGGGGGGTGAGAATGGATGACGTCAGAGGTTACGGGGGATATATAAGGGGGAACCCGTGACGTAGAGGGGGTCGTCGCGAAGGGCCAGGAACGGAGAGAGTTAGGGAGTCGGGATCCAGGGTAGGGGGAATCAGCGCCAGGCTAGAGTGATACTTCACCCGGCCGACCGAGTTGGATGATCCCTCGGTCGGTGCTGGGGGGGGGATCACGTATAGCCTGGGTGGAGCTAGGGACCTCCCAGTACCCTTCCTCTGGGGAGATATTAGGGTTTTCACCTGTTAGGCGTAAGCCTTTAATAAGTTACTGGCAGTAGCCCTTAATAAGCCTTGGCATCCGCCCCTACTCAAGAACCTTGTCTGCGTCGTCAGTTGCACCTCAACACATGGAACGCCGATTCTGAATTTGCGTTTATTGGATGAGGCCAGGGTTCTACGTCGAATGAGAGAAGGATTATGTTACGAACGAGACATTAATTTCTGTGTTCGATGCGTCAAGGGTTCTCGATACATTCGGTTTATCGAATGAAACTATAACTTACACGTTGTACGATTTCGCATATATGCGGCTAACCTATTTATATTAACCTATTTATATCCATCATTCCCGAAATGTGTGATTATGCGTTTGGACGTGGGACCACGTTGGTGTGTACTGGACTGTATGCGCTACTCGGCAGGCAGTTTTCTCGTACGATTTCGCTTTGTGCGCCCTACCAGACAAAGCGAGAGAAGCCTGCATTGGATAAGACAAGGGCTCTTTGTATTGGATGGGGCCAAGGGTTCTATGTGGGGTTATCTGTATTGAACAAGCATTCTGTTGGATATTCCGTATCACATTCATCTGAAGGTGTCAACATTGATCAAACTTACCTTGCTCTGATTTATATGTGTATCATTGGTGTCATTTATCTGATTTCTTTTGCTTTTGTCATTTTAATAACCAATTTCACGCAAATTAAACGTTCCCCATCTTTTGAGTTCTCGCCTTGTTATTATAAGAATAAACGTGAAACTTTTTAATCTTGGAGGAAACTGTTCAACCAACCCCCAATCCCATCCAGGACTTAAACTCAACTTCTCCCAACTCGTGGTAGGGGTATTTATAAGGTAGGAGAGTGATTTCATAGGGAAGGAGGGGCTGGGGGAAAGAGGGGGGCAGGGAGCAGGTGGTCGGTGAATGGGTGAGAGGGGGAGGTGTCACATCCTCGTCTCCGATTGGTCCTCCCAGAATACCGTGGCTGCACGCCTCCGCCCAGCACGGGTGAGTATATATTTAGAGGGGATCATTGACGTCAGCAGTGGGGATCACTGAGGTCAGCAGATTATGAGCACGCAGTGGCACTCGTGCGCAGAGCTGGCTCCTATCCTGGGGATTTAACATCGTCGTCATCACCACCATCAACAACGACATCGTCATCATTTCGTCAAGTAACATAAACCATCACGTGAACTTCGGTCATCCTTGCACCGAGTTTTGGCTAACCATCGAACAAAGACGGTCACTGCATCGAGTGCTTTCAGATGCGCTTCTATGGCCGTCTGGAACGCTCCTTCCGATATTAGGAATAGGGCTGAACGATTAATCGATTTCAAATCGAAATTTGAAACAATGCGATTAGAATATCGCTAAGGCTGCGATGTTTTGCGATTTGAAAAGTCATTACTTTCATCTTCTGGGCTATTTCGGTAAAGTCACGTAGAATGTAGATAAAATAATAAAAATAATAATAACAATAAAATTCTCACGACGTTTCGGCCACAACACAAGTAGCCTTCCTCAGGTGAAGAAACGGGACTGTCCGGAAGACAGCGCTTGAGTGCACCCTGCCAAGCTTGACAGCGTCTTTTAAGCTGTGTGGGAGGAACAGAGCGCCTTGAAAAAGGAGTTTACATATACATTAGCATGTAACTGGGGGATTAGCATGATGTTGGCGTGAGGGATGAGCACCACGGAGAGCGACGAGCTCAGACCGGAGGAGGACGGAGCAGCGCACCGTGGCCGTTTCCTCCTCTTCCCCCCCTCCTCCGTTCCGAACATAGATGGACTCGTCCGTCTGAACAAAGCTTGTTGCTCTCCGTGGTGTTAATTCCTCATACTAACATCATGCTAATCCCCCAGTTACATGCTAATTTACTGTTGATATGTAAACTCCTCTCCCCCCTCCTCCGTTCCGTACATAGATGGACTCATCCGTCTGAACAAAGCTCGTCGCTCTCCGTGGTGCTAATCCCTCACACCAACATCATGCTAATCCCCCAGTTACATGCTAATTTATATGTAAACTCCTTTTTCAAGGCGCTCTGTTCCTCCCACACAGCTTAAAAGACGCTGTCAAGCTTGGCAGGGTTCACTCAAGCGCTGTCTTCCGGAAAGTCATGTTTCTTCACCTGAGGAAGGCTACTTGTGTTGTGGCCAAAACGTCGTGAGAATTTTACTGTTATTATGATTTTTATTATTTTATCTCCATTCTACGTGACTTTACCGAAAGAGCCCAGAAGATGAATCCCTGCAGTCACGAAAGCTTTAAATCGAAATTTCCTATTACTTTCTTATTAGAATTGTTTATTTTTGTATTATTATAACCTTATTTAACAATTGTTCTATGTTTGATTGTTCTATTTCAATTAAAACATTCTACTAAATACATTTTAGAAGCAATTCATATATTTTAAGTTATCATCCTTGCATTAGAATATATAGAGCAGTTAATATTTTGATGGTATCAAGTGGTAATGCTCCATCACATGTTTTAAATCTATTACACAGTGAATATTGAACTGAAGCTTGACTTTAAAAAATGTAATCGCAAATCAAATCTCAATATCTGTCAGAAACATCGCAATTAGATATTATCCCCAAATCGTTCAGCCCTAAATAGGAAGCCACTTGGAGCTGTGTACTTTTAAATCTAGAATTGAAAATAATTTCGTTAAAACTGCTATTTGTGTTTAATTTGTTGTCCTTCCCCTGCACCTTCGATTAGTAGGTCACAAAAAGTCAGACCCCCCTCAAATATGACGTCACAAAGCTCTGCCCCCCTCCCCCCCCAAAAAAATAACACATGCTTCAAATCTCTTTAAACTATTGTCATTGCAGTGCGTATTTAATGTGGCGCTGCACTCTGATGTTGTAGGAGAAAACATTTATTTTAAACAGTCTATTTAATTAAGTATAACGTGTTGTCTATATATTTAAAGTTGCGCATTTTGATGTGACGTCACATTTCTCAAACCCCCCCTCGTCACACATCGTCACAAATGTCTGACCCCCCACCCCCCCCCCCCCAGGTGCGTGACGTCATTTATGGACGGCCCATAAGGATCAACACGAGTATCAAAAGATAATCAGCGTCATCATCGGCACCGCGAACAATATGAGCATCACGATTCGGTTCGCTCTCCCCCACCGCCTCTGTCCACCAAGCAGCTGGTCGATCGGCAGGTCACATGTTGTGGGGTAAAGTGTGAGTACCACAACAGTCTTCTGGAAGAGTGGAAGAGTGGATCTACGTACCCACGTGGAGGTGTGCTCCAGACTCCAGCCCCAACTGGTGGATGCCCTTCTGCCAGCAGTTGCGTGAGAAAGCTATTGCAGGGCTGCGCATTTACCAATGGCAATGAGCACTGTCCATACAATTCATTTTACGCGTATATTTGTTTTTATTCACTTATGTACACATCAAACTGGTGAACATTCTGTACAACACCCAATATGTATATATTTACACGCATATACACATTACACACAATTTACAACGGATATACAAAATGCCTCCTCGGACTGAAAACTGTTTAGCTAACCATTACAAGTTTCAGTCTTTTTTTTTATGGCCAACATTTCTATCTTCGAAGAAATGGCCAAAACACGTGGTTTTGGCAACTTGGCACGCATCGGCACTTTTTTTTCACAAGAAAACCATACCGATATAAACTTTCACTAAGATGAGAATCTGGCCTCTAACGTGTTAAACGCAAGACAATCATAGCTCCTGGTAGCAATCGATATAAACTTTCACTGAGATGAGAATCTGGCCTCTAACGTGTTAAACGCAAGACAATCATAGCTCCTGGTAGCAATCGATATAAACTTTCACTAAGATGAGAATCTGGCCTCTAACGTGTTAAACGCAAGACAATCATAGCTCCTGGTAGCAATCGCAGCCCAACCGCTTTCGGCTCCATCACAAATGTTGAGGGATTCGTTTAACATACCGTGTTTGCTATGGTGGTGTAAGACACATTATTTTCTCCTCTCTACTTTTAAACCAGCTCCCGACGCGTCATTTCCATAGCTATTATAACCTTTGCTCAATTCAAGAAACGCAATGGTTCTCATCGGCCGCATCGTCATCCGCTTAAAATAACAATGTTACTTATCTTGCGTTGCGTACAATATTGACCAGCAGCGCATCACATTATTCTGATATGAACAATTAAAAGCCAGATTGAAATTAGAACACTTTAAAAGTAAAAAAAAAGATATATACTTTTTTAAGTGGCACGCAGTTTTGCTGGGTAGCGAGTTCCAATCCTTGGCCCCAGCGTATGAGAAGGCGCCGTTCCCCAAATTATGTTTTTGTACACGCGGGACGTCGTAGTCAAGAGTTTGTCTGCAGAGCGAGGACCGGCCTGTGATATATGAGATTTGATATGGGTTTTGAGGGTTTTGAGGGTTTTTGGACAAGTCGACTGGACACGTGTTTATATTGGCCATGCGCATTAATAGGCAGCAGAGTATATACTCGATGCAAAGGTGCACTGGGATCCGGCGCAACTCTCGAAGAGCGGGTGTGACACGACCGTGGAAGGCGAGTCCCATAACTAGCCACGCCGCTCCCTTACTGCTTGCGCAGTAAGGGCGCGATTGTCGGATTTTGGTAAATGCTTGGTGACAGGTTTCAGTAACGGCGCACAAATGAAACTGTTCTTGGAGGGGGTGCGATCGTGCATTGACCTCAGGACTTATTTCACACAGGCTGCACATTGAGCAGCTCAATCTTGGTTAAGGTTGGCACAGAGCCGGTCTTACAAAGTTGCCGCAAAACTCTGGGAAGAACGCATCGAGCACCGGGCATGTTGCTGATGGTATTAGAAGTGCCGTTGACACCCGTATGTGACGTAAAAACAACATAACTGGTAGGCACGGGGTGATGAGATAGAGCCACAACATCATGGCGTACACTTGAATAGTGAGGCTGTCTATTACCAGCAGTTACAGTCATGTGACTTCTTGCCACGAGCAGCCTTGGCACTGGATCTAACTGGTCGGCAATGTTCTCCCCCCTGCAGCCACGTCTGTGGCAAGGACGAAAAATATTGCGACTCAGGAGTAAGGCTCCGAGGGCCTAAGAAACTTGACATCCCGCCGCGTGCGTTTCCATGAGCCGCGTAACTCTGGAACGAACTCGAGTTGCCGCCCCCGCAGCGTTTGTCCCTATTGTTGTCAACTCGAGTTGCCGCCGCCGCAGCGTTTGTCCCTATTGTTGTCAACTCGAGTTGCCGCCGCCGCAGCGTTTGTCCCTATTGTTGTCAACTCGAGTTGCCGCCGCCGCAGCGTTTGTCCCTATTGTTGTCAACTCGAGTTGCCGCCGCCGCAGCGTTTGTCCCTATTGTTGTCAACTCGAGTTGGGCTCCCAATTCGAGCTGCAGCCCCATGTGTTTTTTTACGTCAATTACGATTCGCCTGGATTCCCTGCTGTCAGAATTTTTGGGACAAGCGTAAATATGCCACCAAACATGTCAATGAAAGATGTCGGCGGGAGCATTTAATTGTACATCCGGTGGTAGTGAACGCCGCATTAGAATTCGTAGGAAACCTTTGCTTCCTGCCATTTGTGAATACCACGTGAGAAGTGACAACCATAGCACAACTAGGAGAATCTTACCCTGACTTTATTTCTTAAGACCTGACAATCTCATGTGATAACTCGAGTAACTCGGAAAATCTTGAAAACGCCAATATTAGTTTTATCTTTTTGTACCAACGACGAGAAATCAGGCCAGCTCCAGTTTACTTAAGTTAATTGTGCCATGGAAACAATGTATCAATCGCTGGCCGCTGTGCACTGTAGGCCCAAAATAGTCCTACAGCAGCCAACTGTGATAATAAATAAAAAACACCAAGAAAGCCTGCTTGCTAGCCACCGCAGCTTCTCTGCACAGCATTTCCAACCGAATGTTTGTGTCAGCTGGATATGTATGGCATGCAGGCGGGATTCCAAACTTGTCTGACGGCCAGTCTGTAGGGATGTAATAATTCACACTCTCTACGATTCAATGCGTTATCAAAATTCATAGATTCATTGTTTTCTCGAACCGATATTTTTTATGCCATTGTGGTGAAACTAATTCCAAGATGGCATTCATCTGTGGAATCTTTAGTGGTATGAAAAGCATGAAATGAAAATGATACTTGTATTTATATTGCACCTATAACGTAACAAAACCTCTCACTGCAGTTATATATTTAGCCTATTGAGCCCCCTATTGGCAGCTTGTACCTGTGTGGCACAAGGTGAACAAATCACCTGCCTGCAGGTGGGCATTAGTCTGCCAGCAAGGGGGCCATGTTCGCTATTGGTTGTTCCAGTTAGGTAATTTGCAAGTAATTTGGTTGCATTTGGCAGATTTAAACCATGACGCTGCTACGCATGGCCGACTATTTAGTTGCGACACTGAGCACCCACAATAATTTTAAGTGCACGATGGAGGTTCTTGTGCAGTATCGTGAGAATACGAACCAATTTTAATTCGGGTCTCAGTGACTCGTTACATTTCTATCCATCTGCACTCACATCGTGGGCTTAGTTTTAAAATAGGAATACAAGGAGGCAACCAATACCTTTAAATACTCTCCGTTTAGTAAACATTCCGATGTGAGCATCTGTCACATGCGGTGACAACTACTAAAAATATCTCCTAAAACGATTATTTAGCATTTATAAGTTCTAGCAGTGCATGTTTCATGTGAGAGTTACATGTCACATGGAGAGTGCTGCACCGCCAGGGTGTTACAATGGAGGCTTAATCAATTGTTGTAATTTACGTCATCGCGGTTTTGGTGAATAGCGCATCGTGAGTGGGGTATGACCCTGCAAATAGTATTAAATATATTCTCACCTGCCCCCCCACCACCCCGACTCCAAATGTTGCCTCTGAATAACGTGCAAAAAGATGGTGGTGCCCTTGCACAAATGGACATTGGAAGAGGGTGTAAGGAGGAGTGAGATTCTTGGAAGCCGAGGCAGCAATACGGCGACGGCTGTATCAGTCGTGGCAAAGTTAAAAATATGCGTGGAACGACTATATTGAAAAAAGAGGCCATTTGCCTTCTCGTAGGCATCTCCTGAATCAGCGACAACAAAAGCAAATCCTATTTGTTTTCATTTTTGGCATCTAAAGGGTACATCATTGTCAGAAATAAAAACCCGTCATGCATTATTGAATGCACTGTTCACACGATTCTCCTTTTAACGTCCGATATGTTCTGAATTCCTCATTGCCCGACATCCGTAATCAAACTCTCAAAACGAGCTGCATTGGCCGGAGTCGAGGCAACAACCGGGCTACGCTTTCTGTCGTCATCGCAAAGACGCTTGTGTGCTTACTTCTGGGAATCTCACGGATGTCGTCTGCTCTGCACTTCCGCCAATTACAAGTTAATCCCACCGATATCATAAGATAGCATTTGTCTCTAGGTGTCTTACACATTAATGTCTAAAATTACTGTGGATGTCAGGCGCAGGTGTAGGCTTACAAATGTCAGGAGTTTCCAAAAGGTGTTTCGTATTGATGAGCATCACTGAGTCTCCAAAGACACTTTTTTTCCATGAAAGCACAGCAATTCAGATATTTGGCCAATGCCTTTTGATCATTGCATTACATCTGTGAGGAATCTGGTGGTACTTGAAGAAACCTAAGAAACATACGAGAACATTGCTCGCAAAAGTCCGCACATAACCCAAATGCTGAACCCACTTGTTGTCCTGACCATCTCGAACAAACCTCTCAGCACCAGTGTATTTGGGAGTCTCGAAAAAAAATCTGTTTATGATTCACCAGTCCTACCCTCACCCACTAAAGTGCTGAACTAAAGGCGTGGAATCGCCCTTCTATATATGCCTCGAACTTCAGTGGATGCCTGTCCGGGGGCTTCCACAGATGTCAAGAGCTTGCACAGACGTTTGAAACTTTCACGAAAGTCTGTCCCGGTGCTTCCACAGGAAGTCTGGAACTTCCAATGAAGCCCGTCTGGTGCCGCCACTCGGGACGCCTGTCTGGAACTTCCGTGGATATCGAGGCTAGATGCCATGGCGTACGGGCAGGGAATCGAGCATGGCGCCGCGTGCACGCTCCCCGCCGCGTAGGAGCTCCCTCAGGGCGCACGCGCGCAGGCTTGGTGGGGAGCGCCCCAGCGCACGCATCCACGTCTCGGTGCCCAGCAGCGCGCACCACCGCTCGGGCGCGCGCTCCAGTAGGGCGCGCGCGGACCCTGAGCTGGGGGGGCCGCGCCCCCCGGGCGGCGAGAAGAGGAGCAGCAGCTCCAGGCAGCGGGCACGTGCCAGGGCGTCGTGGGGGGCCCAGTCGTGGAGATCCTGGTGAGCCCGCTCGTTGAGGTTGCCACGGTTCCTCTCGTGGAGGTCCTGGCAGGGCAGCTCATTAAGATTCCGGGCAGCCCTCTCGTTAAGTTCACTGTGGGCCGTCTCGTGCAGGACCTGGGAGGCCCTTTGGTGGAGGTCCTGGTTGGTCAGTGAACCACGACGATGGGTGTGGATTTGGTGATGGTTATTATTGATTTGACAAGCCCTACACCCAGGGGGAACTGGTCCCCCATTTCCCTCTCGCTTGGACGACCCCAGGGGACCTTCCAGGGGCTCGAGCAGGGCGTCCAGCGGAAACTCACCCTGCATGTCCGCCACATCGGCCCGCGCCCCGTGCGCGAGAAGGATGCGCGTGCACTCGGGCTTGGCCAGCTGGCACGCCAGGTGCAGCGGGGTCCTGCCGGCTCCAGGACCCCACGTGGGCGTCACCTCGGCCGCGTTCACGTAGTCGGAGAGACGAAAGGAGTCGCTGCAGTGACGGGCCACGCGCAGCAGCAATAGCAGCAACTCCACGCGGTCGTAGCGTACAGCCGTGGCCAGGTGTGACGCGCCAAATGCGGGGCCCGGTGGGGCCAGGGCAGAAGGGGGGCCCAGCTTCTGCTGAAGCTGTTGGTGGTGCTGACTCTGAGTCTCATGGTCCTGCACACTTTGCTGGTGGTGACCTTGCTGATTCTGGTTCTTATGATACACCTGTTGGAGTCCGTCTCGATGAATGCTTTGTCTGACCTCCGGCTGCTGGTCTTGAGCCTCATGTTGATTATTCGAAGCTACTTGCTGGTGTTCCATTGATCTCTCTTGGTTCTCGAGATCTTCCTGCCAGTTGAGCATCTGCTGACCCTGCGTCGCTACGAGGCAGGGCCCGTCACCGAGGAGGTGTCGCGCGTAGGCGCGGTGGTCGTGCACGATGGCGTAGAGCAGCGCCTCGCTGGGGGTGTAGGCGGTGCGTGACGCATGCGGACCCCGCTCCCAGTGGAACACCCCCATCGTGCGCAGCTCCTCCAGGGCCCACGGCGGCCGGCGGTCGCGCACGGCGCGGTAGAAGATGAGCGACGAGTGGCGGCACTGGGCGTGGTAGCACTCGGCACGGCTCCACTCGCGCACACGGCTCGCGAAAGCCATCGCGTCGCCCTGCATGGTGCGGCCTTGCTTTGCGGGGTGCGGTGGAGGCGGGGTGCTGGGAGGGCTGGTGTGAGAAGTGGGGGGCCTGGGGGATGGAAGAGAGAGGAACGGGCAGGTCCTGGGTGTCTGGTGGGTTTTGGGTGGGTGGGTGGGGTAGTTCGGTAGGTCTGTAAGTGAGCCTTAAATGGTGGCTCTCAGCAGGCTCTGTCTAGTGGAGGTGTGAGGGTCCTGCGTGGCAGGCAGAGGTTGGCAGGGTATTGGGCCAGCGGTCTTTGGTTGGCAGAGGGATACCAATGGACAGTAGTTGGTGATCAACGGGCCTTGTAGAGCGACGGAGTTGATTGATCTCTCTGGAATTCTCTGTGGTCTGGGGGGCCTAGGTTTTCAGGTGGATCACAGCAGAATCTCTGGACCCTGGAACCTGCGGCACTTGGGGTGGAGTCTTCTCGCCCTGGGTCTCTGCATCAATTCGTTTTGCCAACTGCAGATAGAAAAATAAGTATGACAATAACATTAACACAGTATAAAGACGCCAGATGCACAGACAGAAAATTATCATCAGGGCTTAATGTCTCATTCAATATTTTCCAGAACGTTACAAGGCTGGCCTGGAGTAGGGGTTATCGGTGTAAGCTGGCAATGCCACCAGAGTACAAGGCACATCTATCCATAATAATCCTATACGTATTATTGTACCATGTATTGCAATAATCCTATGAAAAATATTATGCAGTATCATGAGGACAAAAGACGGCGAGATGGTTGTGGCACGCTGAAATAATTCCCGGAGCAGCGTTCCCAGACTGTACCGGCCACAACTTTGCACTGATTATGAACATAATAAAGAGTTACACATCATACATGCGTCCAGACTGTATTGCAAAGCCCGTGGACGGGTCAGAGTTTAAAACGTTTGTTAAACTGGGTTTGTATTGGCCACTCCTCAACTAAATTCAAACGTGTACTGCATTTGAAGCATGCCAAGAGCTACATTACACGTGATTACATGTTATTTGTAACAAACATAATTATTCGGGTCATTGCATTCCAGGAAATTGAAAAACTTCCATCCAAACATAAATATTGTTTGTGTGCGTGTACTGGTTGTGGGGAGCGGTAGTGTAGCAGTTAGCGTGCTGCGCTTTGAACATCAGTGACGAATATCTGAACTGGTCCTGGGCCTCCCTAGGTCGACTTAGCCTGAACTTAGTACCTGGTACGGTGTTTAAACATCGCCACTGCGGAGACAAAGGCGGCCGGGCGTGGTGCTGGCCACCCACCCCCTCGTGTGATGTGCTGGCCTTCATAGGTACTCGCTAACAGCACTCCCCTCAACAATCTGTTAAGGCTATACGGGGGATCTTTGCCTTTGTGTTGGGGTTATGCGATTAACAGTACAAAGGTTCATACAAAGGTAAAAGTGCAGCGCTAAAAGTTATTTCCGACGCCACTTTTGGCGGAAGGGTCTCTACTAGAGGGGGCTCTAGAACGCTCCTCTATCCCGAGTAGTTTTCGCCGAATCTTCCTCGTTTGGCCAGAGACGTCTCGGAAGAAGTGGGATTCCCCACACTTTACCGCAAACGACGCGCCCTGCCAATCGACAAATGTCGTGTAACAGTTTATATGCTGCAGTCAATCCTCCTATAACGCATGCTTTTCATAACGCGAATTGGATATAACGCGATTGAGTGAGCAGAAAGAATTACGTCGAGCGAGTTAGGAACCCGCAGTTGCACGGCTGCCTTGGCCGTGACATCACACAACTCGGGTTGTTGCTCGATGCTTCCCCAGATGCTACCCACGTTCAGCCTGCATACGCATCCCACATGTTATCGGGGACTGCGCTTTGCCTATATATGTTAGAACGCGATTTTTCCATAACGCGGTGTTCTTCAGAAACGCAACTACGGCCGCGTTATAGGAGAACAGACTGTATTGCTGAGTGACCAGAGGCGGGGAGATATAAGAAATGGGTCAATTATTTCAACCTCTCATTTGCAAGTCCGGTGTGCTAACAATTGCATCGCGGAAACAACCCCTTGCAAATACGGTCCAGTATATACTGAACCTTGAACACCCGTGTGTGCGTGCAGTGAATGAATGTACACGTGTGAGTCACGTATAAGTATGACTCAATTGGGACGACTATACACAGCAACCGTCGGTAACCCCCTACTTACTGGCAGCACAAGGTGCTGAATCACCTTGTGCTGCACAGGGCCAGTTCCCACTGGGGGTGCCCTGTCAAAACCACTCCGATCAACCCAGTTATCAAGATTAAGCGTTGCACGTGCGAACGCGTGATCGTCAATGTATAGGTCCGTGCACAGAGGATTGGTATTACCATCATGTAATGTCGATGTGTATGTAGCTTTTTTGCAAACGTGTACTGTATGCATACTTACTTAAAGTACTGCATATATGTCGCTATACAGCAAACGTAATGTGGAGAGATATGTCAGTGTGAATGTGTATTAGGGTAATGGCAGCATGTGTTCATGTCCTCTTGGATTAGTGGTAGTGTGGCGGTTCACGAATGAAACCAGCCACCACGGTTCGATTTCCACTCACAGCCACCAACAGCCACCAACACCAGTGGCGATTATTTGAACCGGCCCTGAGCCTCCCCTAGGTCGACTCAGCCTCAAATAAGTACCTGGTACGGTGCGTAAGCATCGCCACTCGGGAGACAAAGGCGGCCGGGCGTGGCGCTTGTCACCCCCCACACATTGTGTGTTGTGCCGGTCTTTCAGAGGCGCTCGGTAACAGCACTTGCCACAAAAGTATGTGAAAGCTATTCGGGGCTATCTGATGTTCTAGGCTATCTTGTGTTCTATGCGTGCACTCTATAAATTTGTGTAGATGTTTATTGTAATTATGCCAATGATCCCCCCCCCCCCCGACATCTTAGGAAAGCCACACCAAGCCCAAAGGATATACATTTGTCATGACAAAGCTGTGAGGCACACGTATTACCACTGCCGCTGATGCCATACTATAATAAATTCACGCCCCATACACATTTCTAGTCCTGTACATGACATGAACACGTTTCCTAATGCTGTACATTATGCCGTGAGCTATGCTGTGTGTGTGTGTGAGCCGACCGCAGCGTGAACATTAAATACCAGTTACCTGTTCTTCTCTCTGTGGCCCTTGCCCAGTCGTTCGGTCGAAACAGCAACAATCAGAACAAGGGTCTCGGCACGTTTATAAAGTGTAGCGGTGGGGGTGTAGGTGGGCGGTGTGGGGGGTAAAGTGACCACCACCGATGCACCTCCTCCTCTTGCCACGCGCCCTCCCCATGTCTCTCTCTCTCTGTCAACAACCACGGCACGAAGGCACGCGGGTCTGCTTGCAGGGGATCGAGTTTCGCTTCCCTCGGAGTCATTATTAATGGGGTTTTTATTAATAGAGTCGCCTTTAGCCCCGGGGGGGGGAGGTGCCATGGTGGGTAAGGGTCTATTCCAAGGTTGCCACCACACTCTCTGTACGTGTTCTGTGAAGCTCCATCAACAGGAATGATTATGGTCATGCTGCCCGTAAGTTGCGTAGCGCGCGTGTGTGTGTGTGTGTTTTTGTATTTATGATAATTTGTTTCAGTTCAGGTTCAGCGAAGGCCCTCTAGAGAGGCCCTCTCCAGGGAATGTTGGCCTACTCGTCCACGTTGGCCAAACGCCTTGGAAGAGGCGGAAATACCCCCACACCACACTCCACCTGCCTATCGACAAACTGTGCTGTGCCCATGTGTATATACTGTGGGGTGGACAGTGGCGGAATGAAGAAACGTGCACTTTGTTTCAACTGCCGCGCTGGGAGATCGACCTCTGGCTTGGAAATGCAGTGTACTGCCAACCACTTACACCACGGCAGATTCCGCCTATTATTAATATCGTACAGTACTGCATTAATGATATGCGAGAGGTATGTAATGACAACTGGCAAGCAAATTCCATTGCCTTCCACTCGGACTGAAACAATGATGATATTGATTAGGTTACTATGGTGTTCAACGTTTGATCTCTTGATCCCATCCACTCCCCACAAAATAACGGGATTGCTTCGCTGATGGCATCACCACTGATTTGTGCGACATGCTACTGCGATTATTGCTAAATACGAGGACAAACGCATGTTGGAAAGCATGTCAGAATCCATGCATATGCATGTTTTTCTTGATTTTCTTCCTCGTTATAATGTAGCTTTAGGCGGTTTTTACACGTTGGGAAAAAGATGACGTAACAGTGTTTTCAGCATCCATGTTTCAGCAGTCATGCCTTGTAATGTAATTATGTTTCGGCGGTGTTCTTTGGCATGCATGCCAGAGGACGTATTCCGAGGGGATTGAGCGATAAAATCACGTCTTGTGCAGGTGCCAGGTGGATTATTACAACACATAATCGTGGAAGATAGGTGGTGGCTTGGGGGGCCTTGATCCAGCAGTGGATTGATCATGGTTGATGATGGCTTTTGGCGAGTTCTCACCACCATGGGCAGGTTAAAAACAGTATGATGGACAGATGTTTATTAGAAAAAAACACATCAAGAGGTGTTGGATGATGATGATCATGAAAATTCACGTTTAAAAAAATACAAAAAAAATCAACATCCGTCAATAACCCAGTGGCATTAAAAGGGAAAACAAATATATAATATGCAACGTTTCAGGCAATGGTTCTTCATAGCACATAAATGTATATATTGAACTTCTTTCGCACCGTACATAGACAACCGTGCTAATCAGAGGTTGCGGCATAATACAAAGGGGCCAGAGAGGCAGTGCATCAGGGTTGCACTTGAGAACTATCTTTGTTCAATGTGTTATAGTAATTTTTTTTAGCTTGTCATGAATAGTTACCAAATTGTATCTGAGTAAAAGACAAAGCCTTCAATAACGCAGCATCACCAAATTAATTAACTATATTTATTAGGACCGTAGGAGTATAATGATAGCGTAGGAGTATGATATTTTAATTTAGATTTCCGACAATAGGAGTTTCTAGCGAGCAATCACAAGCAACAAATCACGCGAAAAGACTTATTTTTCGCGCTCTGCAGATCAAAATAAACTGGAATTTTGTCAAAAGAACAGATTTTTCTCAGTGTTGACATTTTGCTCATTCTTGTACTACCTTTGGTTCTCGACTTTTACGCAGAATGATAATCACACGTTTTAATCTTGATTTGAAGCTTTCGTGACTGCAGGAATCCATAGAAATAAAACAAATCACTGTTTTATTTTATTTAGAACTACGTGACTTTACCGAAAGAACCAAGGAGTACACGTTTTAATGTAAGTGGTTTGTTGATATCAGCACACTGCAGGCAAGGTGGTTGTTGCTGGAATCGAACTGTGTCACTTGACTCAGTACTGACTCAGTAGTGAACGAGCATACCTACTGATATTTCAATCTCCATTTTTTCCTCCAATAAGTACTGATTTTTGTTTTACAGTACTGTATATCAGTACGAATGTTTAGGAATTCGATATGAATTATAAATATATTGCAGTCATTGAATATAAATGCGCTTAAATTCAGGATATATATGTACTACTAATTTACAGCCCATTAATCCACCGCTGGATAACGACCCCCCCACACCGTATCGGTAATGGGGTTCGCTTGACCATACTTTGCCACGGGGCTGTGTGCAAACAACAATCAGTGGCGAGTTATATCTGAACCGGTTCTGAGCCCACTCCATCCTCCCTTCACCAACCCACACTGACCAGCGTGAAGTATATAAAAAAAATCCCCATGACCGACGTAACGTGGCGAGATCTTCATGCAGCAGTGGGTTTAATAGAGGGGATGTACAAAATAGGCCTTACTCTATTCCCTACTCATATTTGAGAACCAAGTTAGACTCGCAGCATTACATACAAAGTGTTTGCCACAAATGAACCACAATACCTTGCTGATCTCGTCAGGAGCATAAACCATCACGCAGACTCCAGTCATCCTCGCACCGGGTTTTGGATAACCATTGAACAAAGACAGTCACTGCATCGCGTGCTTTCAGATGTGCTTCTACGGCCGTCTGGAACGCTCTTCCTTCCGATATTCGGAAGCCACTGGAGCTGCGCACTTTTACATCTAGATTTGAAAATCATTTTGTTAAAACTGCTGTTTGTGTTTACTTTTTTGTCCTTCTCCCGCACCTCCGATTAGCACGGTTGGCTACGTACGGCGCGAAAGAAGTTCAACATACATAACATACATACAATGGGGCCCGGCGCTGGGGGGGGTTACTGGGATGGACCCTACACCACCAAATGTCCTTTTGTCCCACCAAAGTTGACTCTCCTTCGTGATGAACCACCTTGGTATGGTGCCCCACACATACAACAGCAAAAAAAGCACTTACTGGCTGAAGCCAGTATCTGGGTCCGAATGTTGGGGTGACAGAAGGGGCGGGTATGTGTGGCTGGGATGTGTTGAAGTGTGGCCGATGGGTGAGCTGTCATGACGTCACCGCGGTGCTTATTAAAGCGCAGGACAGGACAGTCTGGGCACGTGTGCGGATCAAGTTTCGCCACTGACCTTTCTGCGTGGGCGCTGGAGCGCGGCCCCGTTAGCTCTCTGGGGTACTCGAGCCGGTGCCTCTGCAGGTCGAGCCGCTACTGGCCACGTCTCGGTGTCCCCGTCTTGTCTGAGCCAAGCACATTTTATAATCGTCCGCGTGTTTTGGTCGTTGTGTGTTTTGTGTCCCTGCCGGCGTGAGTCTCTCCTCTCTCTGCAGACGGGGTGTGAATGCGGTCGACACGTGAAGGGCGGGTGCAGAAGGGGTTGCGGGTTCAAATCCAGGTCAGGTGGTTCAATGTGGCCCATCTTCTCCACCGCGGTCAATAATAAAAGACTTCCATGTTGTGGGAAGCTGTCGGTGGTTGTCTCGTAGGGTCAGACACGTTCCGGCCATATGAATGTGGAATGTCCACCTTACACTCTCTAGACCAGTGCAGGAGATGAGTACAGTATCGATCCGACAGCCTGCGACGATGTCCATCCACGGCTAACATCAGTGGCAAATGATAGCTGAAACGACTTTGGCACCCTCCATCAACGCGCACTGACCAGCATGGTGAAGTATGCTCAACCTCCATCACCGACGATGCGTGGGGAGCCCTTCATCCAGCAGTGAATTGACAAAAGCTACAAATGATTTAATTATCAATATTAATAAAGTTGATTTTGCAGTCAGAAACTACATGAGTGCTTCGAGTTTGAAGCATTCTAAAGGCATTCCAGACGGTCATCACCATTATACTGCCAGAGGCACTTCCTTTTTTCACAGTAAATATGAAGACTGCTTTGCGTTTGTTTTTTATCTACGTATGTTTAGGTGTATTTGTAACACGGATTATCCAGTTTAGCCAGTTTCGCGGGTATTTTACAAGGTAGATCCATTGTGCTGTGAGCACAGTAATAGCAACACAAATACGTCAATAGTTGTTTTGGGTTAGATCGCGTAAATATATAAATGTCATTAAAACCCGCCACCACCCGACAAGGGTTGTCACGTAAACAGAACGTGGCCAATTCGTCACTTGCACAGCACACCTGTGTGTTGGAGAGCCAAGCCACAACATTTACAATCTGAGTACGAGTACCAATGGCGGAGCCAGGATTTTCAGGTAGGGGGGCAACCCCTCCAGCAATGAAAAATGATAGAGGAGTTGTTAGTAATAAGTAAAGACTTGTCCCTTGCTTTTTATTTGACGCATGTGCGGCGATGGCTCAGCCATCGATCGAGGGGTCGAATTCGAACCGCGTTGTGTGATCGGCATCGCTCTCGCTGAAGGTGCTGATGCCTTCAGGGAAGTCGTGGACTCTGTATACGCAACTGCGCACAATTCTAAGTCACTTATAACCGCTTTGCCGTTACTTATTGCCAATTGTGGACTCAGACTATTGTTCTATCATCTCATAGAGTCCCTGGCACGTAATAATATGCTACACAGTGGCAGTGGGGGTCGCAAAATGCCGATTTATTACTAATAAACCCCAATGATCCGATCGAAATTAGGGATTTCGATCGGATCATTGGGGGGGGACAACTAGCTTCATCAGGCGACAGCCAGATTTGTGAAGAAGTCTAAATGTTTTGTTCCTTATATAGAGGCGTAGATGTGGTGATCACGCTTCTGCGCTCTTGCGCCACGTGGGGGGGGGGGGGGGGGGGTTATTGAGTCACCATGCGCATTAAGCGAGCCCTTTAAACTTGTCCTTCCTGTCTATTGTGTATATTAAAATAGCGTACCAACGGTAATCCCTATTGAAGTAAGCTGCCCTTTGTAAGCATGCATTTAAATAATTTATTATTTGATTATTCGCTTCCACGCAGCACTAAGGAGGTAGCTATCCGAACGGTTAAAGTTATTTTCATTTCTTTCAATTTCGATAGATTCTCTAATTGGTCTTGGCCAGTAGTAGCTAGTTTTGCACAAAACTTCAACATCATCAAAATCTTTCGATTTAAAGCTTTCGTGACTGCAAGGATTCATCTTCTTTGGTTCTTTCGGTAAAGTCACGTAGAATGAGAATAAAATAATAAATTGATAAAATAAAATAACAATAAAATTCTCACGACGTTTCGGCCACTTGTGTTGTGGCTTGTGTTGTGGCCGAAACGTCGTGAGAATTTTATTGTGTTATTTTATTTTATCAATTTATTATTTTATTCTCATTCTACGTGACTTTACCGAAAGAACCAAAGAAGATTATCAAAATCAATTGAGTGTCCTTGTTGGCACGCGTGTTCTGCAACTGCTGACAGTTGTATTTGGGATAATTTAATATTTCTCTGATGTTCTTTTAGTCTCGTGCTGATCATTCGTCCTGCTTGCCCAACAAAACATTTACCACAACAAAAAAACATATTCGGCAATAACATTGTGGCCTTTAAAAGGATTAAAATATAAATAGCCGCGGTTTTGGGCAACTAAAAGTAACAGCTGGGTCGTCTCTTCACAGTGACGAAACCATAGGTCAACTCATACGATTTACTCTTTGGTTATTTCGGTAAAGTCACTTAGGAAATAAAATCAAATAATATGGGAATTAGACGTTTCGGTTGCAACACAAGCAATCATCATCAGGTAAGAATGAATGTTAAAACACAGACACGGGAACAGCATAGGCAGACACACATGCAGAGAGACAGAGACACACACACCATACGATTTACCCGTATTCTTGTACAGGAAAATTGAAATTTCAGGTCCATACGGCGCACAGCCATTTCGATACGGGCAAAACAATGTTTTTGTCTATGTGTTTATGTTTCTGCCTTGTGATGGGACTTTGTGGGATGAACGTTGAGATTTATAAGGGGGCACGGGGTGACCTATTAGGTCTGAATTGGTCTGTAATAAGCTAGGGCACTGAATAGGGGTTGGCAGCTGTGCGAAACGCAACGATCGCGGGGTATTTAAGCTTTAAACTCAGGGGGGTTTAAACTTTAATCTCAGGGGGGTTTAAACTTTAAACTCAGGGGGGTTTAAACTTTAAACTCAGGGGGGTTTAAACTTTAAACTCAGGGGGGTTTAAACTTTAAACGCGGGGGGTTTAAACTTTAAACTTAGGGGGTTTAAACTTTAAACTCAGGGGGGTTTAAACTTTAAACTTAGGGGGTTTAAACTTTAAACGCGGGGGGGGGGGTTAAACTTTAAACTCAGGGGGGTTTAAACTTTAAACTTAGGGGGTTTAAACTTTAAACTTAGGGGGTTTAAACTTTAAACTCAGGGGGGTTTAAACTTTAAACGCGGGGGGGGGGGGGTTAAACTTTAAACTCAGGGGGTTTTAAACTTTAAACTTAGGGGGTTTAAACTTTAAACTTAGGGGGTTTAAACTTTAAACGCGGGGGGGTTAAACTTTAAACTCAGGGGGGTTTAAACTTTAAACTTAGGGGGTTTAAACTTTAAACTTAGGGGGTTTAAACTTTAAACTCAGGGGGGTTAAACTTTAAACGCGGGGGGGGGGGTTAAACTTTAAACTCAGGGGGGTTTAAACTTTAAACTTAGGGGGTTTAAACTTTAAACTTAGGGGGTTTAAACTTTAAACGCGGGGGGGGGGGGGTAAAACTTTAAACTCAGGGGGGTAAAACTTTAAACTCAGGGGGGTTTAAACTTTAAACTTAGGGGGTTTAAACTTTAAACGCGGGGGGGGGGGGGGTTAAACTTTAAACTCAGGGGGGTTTAAACTTTAAACTTAGGGGGTTTAAACTTTAAACTTAGGGGGTTTAAACTTTAAACTCAGGGGGGTTTAATTTAAACATTAAACTTAGGGGGTTTAAACTTTAAACTTAGGGGGTTTAAACTTTAAACTTAGGGGGTTTAAACTTTAAACTTAGGGGGTTTAAACTTTAAACTCAGGGGGGTTTAAACTTTAAACTTAGGGGGTTTAAACTTTAAACTTAGGGGGTTTAAACTTTAAACTTAGGGGGTTTAAACTTTAAACTTAGGGGTTTAAACTTTAAACTTAGGGGGTTTAAACTTTAAACTTAGGAGGTTTAAACTTTAAACTTAGGGGGTTTAAACTTTAAACTTAGGAGGTTTAAACTTTAAACTTAGGGGGTTTAAACTTTAAACTTAGGGGGTTTAAACTTTAAACTTAGGGGGTTTAAACTTTAAACTTAGGGGGTTTAAACTTTAAACTTAGGGGGTTTAAACTTTAAACTCAGGGGGGTTTAATTTAAACATTAAACTTAGGGGGTTTAAACTTTAAACTTAGGGGGTTTAAACTTTAAACTTAGGGGGTTTAAACTTTAAACTTAGGGGGTTTAAACTTTAAACTTAGGGGGTTTAAACTTTAAACTCAGGGGGGTTTAAACTTTAAACTTAGGGGGTTTAAACTTTAAACTTAGGGGTTTAAACTTTAAACTTAGGGGGTTTAAACTTTAAACTTAGGGGGTTTAAACTTTAAACTTAGGGGTTTAAACTTTAAACTTAGGGGGTTTAAACTTTAAACTTAGGAGGTTTAAACTTTAAACTTAGGGGGTTTAAACTTTAAACTTAGGGGGTTTAAACTTTAAACTTAGGGGGTTTAAACTTTAAACTTAGGGGGTTTAAACTTTAAACTTAGGGGGTTTAAACTTTAAACTTAGGGGGTTTAAACTTTAAACTTAGGGGGTTTAAACTTTAAACTTAGGGGGTTTAAACTTTAAACGCGGGGGGGTTAAACTTTAAACTCAGGGGGGTTTAAACTTTAAACTTAGGGGGTTTAAACTTTAAACTTAGGGGGTTTAAACTTTAAACTTAGGGGGTTTAAACTTTAAACTTAGGGGGTTTAAACTTTAAACTTAGGGGGTTTAAACTTTAAACTTAGGGGGTTTAAACTTTAAACTTAGGGGGTTTAAACTTTAAACTTAGGGGGTTTAAACTTTAAACTTAGGGGGTTTAAACTTTAAACTTAGGGGGTTTAAACTTTAAACTTAGGGGGTTTAAACTTTAAACTTAGGGGGTTTAAACTTTAAACGCGGGGGGGTTAAACTTTAAACTCAGGGGGGTTTGAACTTTAAACTCAGGGGGGTTTAAACTTTAAACTTAGGGGGTTTAAACTTTAAACTTAGGGGGTTTAAACTTTAAACTTAGGGGGTTTAAACTTTAAACTTAGGGGGGTTTAAACTTTAAACTTAGGGGGTTTAAACTTTAAACTTAGGGGGTTTAAACTTTAAACTTAGGGGTTTAAACTTTAAACGCGGGGGGGTTAAACTTTAAACTCAGGGGGGTTTAAACTTTAAACTCAGGGGGGTTTAAACTTTAAACTTAGGGGGTTTAAACTTTAAACTTAGGGGGTTTAAACTTTAAACTTAGGGGGTTTAAACTTTAAACTTAGGGGGGTTTAAACTTTAAACTTAGGGGGTTTAAACTTTAAACTTAGGAGGTTTAAACTTTAAACTTAGGGGGTTTAAACTTTAAACGCGGGGGGGTTAAACTTTAAACTCAGGGGGGTTTAAACTTTAAACTTAGGGGGTTTAAACTTTAAACTTAGGGGGTTTAAACTTTAAACTTAGGGGGTTTAAACTTTAAACTTAGGGGGTTTAAACTTTAAACTTAGGGGGTTTAAACTTTAAACTTAGGGGGTTTAAACTTTAAACTTAGGGGGTTTAAACTTTAAACTTAGGGGGTTTAAACTTTAAACTTAGGGGGTTTAAACTTTAAACGCGGGGGGGTTAAACTTTAAACTCAGGGGGGTTTAAACTTTAAACTCAGGGGGGTTTAAACTTTAAACTTAGGGGGTTTAAACTTTAAACTTAGGGGGTTTAAACTTTAAACTTAGGGGGGTTTAAACTTTAAACTTAGGGGGTTTAAACTTTAAACTTAGGGGGGTTTAAACTTTAAACTTAGGGGGTTTAAACTTTAAACCGCGCGCGCGATCAGCGCCCCCTCTGGGTGAGTCTCGGCCTCCCTCACCCCGTCGAGTCGCCCACCGAAGTTAATCTCTCGATTTCCTTCCAAGACAAATCATATATATTTAAAAAAAAAAGCCATCAAATCTACCCGCGGCAAACCCTGCCCTAAAGCTAGAGCGCGCGTACATTTTTTTTAATTCACCTTTAATTTGTAACCAAGTTGAAAGTCATCTCTCTCTCGTCTCTTCTTCCCCCCGGGTGCGGGCCTCATCCTCGGCCTCTCCTGCGCTCCACCGCCGGGGATTGCGCGGCGTTGCGGGCGGAAGAGCGACCACCTCGGCCCTCTACCCGGGACTCGTTCGGAGTGAAACGCGGGGCCTCGGCGGGGTCAGCATCGAGCCACGGTCGCCCGGCGGTGTCAGACGCGGTGCAGGTGAGCTTGGTTGGAAACACTTCATCTCTCTCGTGTTCATCTCTCTCTCGTGTTCATCTCTCTCTCTCGTGTTCATCTCTCTCATCTCTCTCTCGTTCATCTCTCTCTCGTGTTCATCTCTCTCTCGTTCATCTCTCTCGTGTTCATCTCTCTCTCGTGTTCATCTCTCTCTCGTGTTCATCTCTCTCTCGTGTTCATCTCTCTCGTGTTCATCTCTCTCTCTCGTTCATCTCTCTCGTTCATCTCTCTCTCTCGTTCATCGCTCTCGTGTTCATCTCTCTCGTGTTCATCTCTCTCGTGTTCATCTCTCTCGTGTTCATCTCTCTCGTGTTCATCTCTCTCGTGTTCATCTCTCTCGTGTTCATCTCTCTCGTGTTCATCTCTCTCGTGTTCATCTCTCTCGTGTTCATCTCTCTCGTGTTCATCTCTCTCTCGTTCATCCCTCTCTCGCGCTCACGTTCATCCCTCTCTCGCGTTCATCTCTCTCACGTTCATCTCTCTCACGTTCATCTCTCTCACGTTCATCTCTCTCACGTTCATCTCTCTCACGTTCATCTCTCTCACGTTCATCTCTCTCACGTTCATCTCTCTCACGTTCATCTCTCTCACGTTCATCTCTCTCGTTCACGCGTGAGAGGGATGAACGTTTCATGCCGCCGGCTCGGCATGTGCAGTCGCAGGGGGGAAGTTGTTCGCTGTCTTTTGGCTGTGCGCTGTTGATCGTGCGAAGCTTCGCCAGGCTAATGTGCTTGTACACTTTAGTTTGGTTGTGTTCGAGTGTATTGTAGTCCGCCTACAAATATGTAAAACACGCTGACATATCGTACGTGATTCGAGTGGTTGAATAATAGCATGGTGAGCGTGGTTATTAAGAGTAGTGGTTTTAACACGTAGGCTTTCGCGACCAATATCCATACATAATACAGAGTTGTTTTTGTTGGGTTGGATCGAACCCAAACAGCCTGTATTATGAATAGAGGTTTTGTCGGTTCTTGGAGCCGTGCTTGATAGTGTATGTGTAATAATTGTGGTGGTGAGTGTGTTTTATACTTCAGCAGTACGTGGTTGCGGCTGTTGTTGTACTATATATATGCTGGGTAGGTGTTGTACTGTAGCTTGCATACCTGTCAAACCACGCGTTAGGTTACCCCCTATTCTTGTACAGGGAAATGTGAGTTTTCAGGTCCATACGGCGTGCAGCCGTTTCATGATGGGCCTTTGTGTTGGATGAATGTTGAGATTTGTAAGTGCACGGGGTTACCAATAAGTGTCTGAATTGTGGTTGACAAGGTGTATGAGCTTGCCTTGTATATGGTTGATATGTTGGTCCAGTGGTTACACCGTACTTTGTGTGGTGGTTATTGTGGGTGAACTACAGAGTTGGGGCCCATTAGTTACCGCAGCGTGATTGTGGTTGTACTGTAGATTGTGTGGAGGGTAAGTCGTGTTTGGTGATGTAGTTGTATGGCGCCTATGATCAAATCACCTGGAATGCACCCTGCCTCATCAGATATCAGAAGCTAAGCAGGTTTTGAGCCTGGAATGTTACCTTGTCAGCTCTTGCATCTAAGCTTCTAACCATCAACAAACCCGCACTGACCAGCATAGACAATTAAGGTCAGGTAAGCGCAGCGTGACACGCACAAATGATTCGGTAAAGTTGGATCAATGTGATAGTTTGTGTTCGTGCAGTGGCCAGCATGGTGGTTGATGCGGTGGTTAGGGACGTAAGGGGTGTGTTATAGGTGTGTGTTATAGGTGTGTGTTATAGGGGTGTGTTATTGGTGTGTGTTATTGGTGTGTTATTGGTGTGTGTTATAGGTGTGTGTTATTGGTGTGTGTTATAGGTGTGTGTTATAGGTGTGTGTTATAGGTGTGTGTTATTGGTGTGTGTTATTGGTGTGTTATTGGTGTGTGTTATAGGTGTGTGTTATTGGTGTGTGTTATAGGTGTGTGTTATAGGTGTGTGTTATAGGTGTGTGTTATAGGTGTGTGTTATTGGTGTGTGTTATTGGAGTGTATTATTGGTGTGTATTATTGGTGTGTTATAGGTGTGTGTTATAGGTGTGTGTTATTGGGGTGTATTATAGGTGTGTGTTATTGGTGTGTGTTATTGGTGTGTATTATTGGTGTGTATTATAGGTGTGTGTTATAGGTGTGTGTTATAGGTGTGTATTATTGGAGTGTATTATTGGTGTGTGTTATTGGTGTGTGTTATAGGTGCGTGTTATTGGTGCGTATTATTGGTGCGTATTATAGGTGTGTGTTATAGGTGTGTATTATTGGTATGTATTATTGGTGTGTATTATTGGTGTGTATTATTGGTGTGTATTATTGGTGTGTTTTATAGGTGTGTATTATAGGTGTGTATTATAGGTGTGTAATATTGGTGTGTATTATAGGTGTGTGTTATTGGTGTGTGTTATTGGTGTGTGTTATTGGTGTGTTATAGGTGTGTATTATTGGTGTGTATTATAGGTGTGTATTATAGGTGTGTATTATTGGTGTGTATTATTGCTGTGTGTATTATTGCCGTGTGTATTATTGCCGTGTGTATTATTGCTGTGTGTATTATAGGTGTGTATTTTAGGTGTGTATTTTAGGTGTGTATTATAGGTGTGTATTATAGGTGTGTGTTATTGGTGTGTATTATAGGTGTGTTATTGGTGTGTATTATAGGTGTGTATTATAGGTGTGTGATATAGGTGTGTGTTATTGGTGTGTATTATAGGTGTGTGTTATTGGTGTGTGTTATAGGTGTGTGTTATTGGTGTGTGTTATAGGTGTGTATTATTGGTGTGTGTTATTGGTGTGTGTTATAGGTGTGTGTTATTGGTGTGTGTTATAGGTGTGTATTATTGGTGTGTATTATTGCTGTGTGTATTATTGCTGTGTGTATTATTGCTGTGTGTATTTTTGCTGTATTATTGCTGTGTGTATTATAGGTGTGTGTTTTAGGTGTGTATTTTAGGTGTGTATTATTGGTGTGTATTATAGGTGTCTATTATAGGTGTGTATTATAGGTGTGTATTATTGGTGTGTATTATAGGTGTGTGTTATTGGGGTGTATTATAGGTGTGTATTATTGGTTTCTATTATAGGTGTCTATTATAGGTTTGTATTATTGGTGTGTATTATAGGTGTGTATTATAGGTGTGTATTATAGGTGTGTATTATTGCTGCGTGATTTCATAAAGGTTATATCGTGGAGTAATAGATGGTGTAGTAGCAGTAGTGTGGTTCATTTAGTGGTATTTAGTTGGTGTGGTGGTGTCGTTGCTGGTGTAGATACGAATGTGGTTTACATGGTTCGTGTGGCTATCGGTGCTCTGGTTAATTGGGTTGACGTGGTAGCTTGTGGTTGTTGGAGTGGTTATTGGGTGGTTGGTGTTCTAGTTGATTGGAAGTGGAGGTGTGTAGTAATTAAGAGAGACAGGTTGGGAGTGATAGTTTATTTCCGGTGAGTGTGTAATTAGTATGGTTAATGTGATATTGTGGTTGAGGTTCGTGCATTCGCTGTGCGGTTGGTGTTATATTGTGGTTGAGGTTAGGGGCCGTCCATAAATGACGTCACGCGGTTTTGGACGATTTTGGACCCCCCCCTTCATCACACGGCGTCACAAAAAGTCAGACCCCCCTCAAATATGACGTCACAAAGCTTTGACCCCCTCCCCCCCCCAATATAATAAAACATGCTTCAAATCGCTTTAAACTATTGTCATTGCAGTGCGTATTTAATATGGCGCTGCACTCTGATGTAGGAGAAAACATTTATTTTAAAAAGTCTATTTAATTAAGTAGAACGTGTTGTCTATATTTAAAGTTGCGCATTTTGATGTGACGTCACATTTCTCAAACCCCCCCGTCACACATCGTCACAAATGTCTGACCCCGCCCCCCCACCCCAGGTGTGTGACGTCATTTATGGACGGCCCCTTAGTGTAATAGGTGTTCAGTGATTACCGTGTGGTACTCGTGGTTGATGTTAGGAGCAATGATGTAATTGTGTTCACTTTTGCTGCGTGCGAAAAGAAAAGATGACAACGCTGCTGGGAGGGATGTTGGGGCCGGATGGGCCCAGTACGCGGGAGCTGGTGTTGCTGGGCGTTGGTGTGGCCGTGAGCTTCATCTCCTGGAGCGTCGCTCGCAGGAAGAGTGCAGCTCTGAGCAAGCTGCAGGTCCGCTGGCTCTGAGGCAACGAACTATAACAAAACATCTACATTTACAGTTCGTCATTTACAAATGTTGTTCTGGGAATGATGTCGATCTCTATGCGGTGGTGGTGTTGAGGAAGGGAAAGATAAATCATTTCAAATACTCTTCTCTTATGGTTCAAGAACTCTAGCATGGGGTGTGATGTTATGAGATAAAGAGAGAGAGAGAGTGGGATGGGATTGGAGGGAGATTGATACAGCTGCCCTTGGGAAGAGAATTACCATTTGCTGCGCACTCTCAGAGTTTTATTAAATATTAATACATTTTAGTAATTGGCCCACAATAAAAAATATATAGAAAGATTTGAAATCACATTTTAATCCCATCCAATACATCAGTGGCGGATATCGGGAGTGGGGGGGGGGCATGGCGGCAATTTAACCTTATAGTGGGACCGCGGGGTCCCATAAGCCCCCGGCTCTCGCATAAACTGCGTTGCGACGTAATTTAATGTCTGTTGGAGGCGAACGAAATGGAAATCTATTCCTCTCGACGAGCTCTAATCAAACTTTCCAAGTTTTGTTTCTTCTGCGTATTCGTCCTCGCTGCGCTTGGACGACATGACAACAGATAGATCCGCGCCAGGTGGGTCGCGGCGTTTATGTGTGCGGTGGGACAGAGTCGCCAAAAATAATTAATTAACTACGATTTTGAATTCCTTCCGTTTATTCAGGATCCCGGGGTCCCGCCATAAGGTTCAATTATCCTTGAGACCCTGAAATTTGCTATATTGATCTTTAGCAGGGAAAATTGATTTTTAAATGTTTCGTTTATGTGGGGCCCTATTTAAAATGTTGAAATTTCAGGATTGCCCCCCCCCCCCTCTAGGAAGTTTCTATATCTAGCTCTGCTACGTATTAATGACCACCATCCAAAAAATGTGGAATTTACCCCACTCGCTCAAAGCTGCAAATGTAAATGGGCACCACCTCATTGTGCTCTGAGCAGAGAGACTTAACTTGGCCTATTCACTCTCATATAGGTATGGCAAGGTCACATACATCCGCTGTCGTAATGATATATCACATTGACTCCTTTAGCTCATCGAGATTAACTTAAGTGACCTCATTCGCGTTCAGAAATCTACTAAGACGACCCCACATAGCTACACATGTTACAAAAACAAACACTTCATTTTAATGAAGGTTTATTAGAGTTAAATCTTCAGCATTTTTTTCTAGGAAGGTCCCTGCCTGGAATGCTTCACCATAAAACTGCAACGATTAACTGTTGAAATATTTTTTGATTATTGCTTCCATTAGTCAGTCATTGACAGAAAAAATAGTCACATTCCTGCCATCCATGATGTGCTGCTTATCAATTTTCGTGCCAAAAAAATTTGCCATGGGATTTTATCCTTTTGTAATTTTACCACTATTTAAACAATTCCTTTATATGGATTCCAGAGTGGTAAAGCCTCCCATGCAAAGAGTCGAGCACAATTTGCCTGCTGCACTGCACTCTACGGGCTGCTGTTTTGCTCTCATGCACTTGATTGCTTGCATGAGCCAACAACCCTGCTTTCAGAGTGCCAAGGCTATAGGTGCGTTTCATTTCACAGAATCATTTGTTGTCGAGGGGTAATTTCAGTTGTAATTTCATCATGACTGAAAGTCTCTGGTGTTCTTCGTGTCATTCACAGGAAACTTCACAGATCCCCCTGGACGATGGTCTCATAGGCAGGCTGAAGGATGCACCTGGGGGCTACTTACCATATGTGGTGTTGGAAGGTACAATTGTGCAAACACATGACAGAGATCCCCTCTGCAGTCGTATAGGCTCTTGGGGCAATTGCTGTGTCAATCCATGTTAAGGCCAGCACAGCTTACAAGTAGGTGTGGTCAGCATCATGCCCAGCCACATTTGTCTCCATAGTGCCGATGTTCACACGCTTTACCTGATGCTAATATGAAGTTGAGTCGACTTAGAGAAGGCCCAATATAGGTTTTGATGACTGGGTTCATAGCTAAGTGTGCGAATCACTGCAATATTGTTTCCCATGACGGTTCATACACACACATCACCACACACCCCTACCCATCCAGGATGCAAACCCACAATCCCCTTCATAGATATATAGTCAGGATTGTGCTTAGAAGTAGTTATGTGTTGTTGAACTATGGGTTTGTCAACATTAATGCACAACACAGGGTGTTCCACAAATATGGACTCGATTTGAAATCGCTATATCTCTGCAACCACGAACCGCCCATTAATGAAACTCTTACCACTTGAAAGGGCGGGGCATAGAGTTTCAAATGATTACCGCTCGATGCCTCTCCCAGCGCACAAACAGCCCCTAGCCTCAGTCATTCGCAAGACGGTGACCCCGCAACACAAGGGGCGTTTTGCATTCTGCAGTTCAGCAAGACTGAATCCGTTATTGCGGTGCAGCGTGCGTTTCAACGTCGTTTTGGCATTGATCCGCCAATGTCAAAGAGCATCGTGGCACAAAACAACGTGGTATTTTTGTGCCATCATTAGTGACTAATCTGGATGACCTCAAAAACAGAATCACGGCAGCGGTGACTTCAGTGGAAAAATACACTTTGAGAGGCGTTTGGGACGAATTAAACTGTCGTCTCGATGTTGTCCATACAGCAGGTGGAGGGTACATAGAGCGTTTATAAAATGGTTAGTAAAATGTGATAACGCATTAAACCGTTTATGACTTTTTGTGTAATTGTAACATGTTGCCATCGTGAAATATACTGCTTTGAAATTGGGTCCATTTTCAAACACCCTGTACATTATCGCGATTACCATTGCCCCCTAGTGGCTAGTTACTACCTCAACTGTTCATTTGCCAGGTAACTTGGAGCTTTGTTTAATTGTAGTAATGCACAGATCGTCGTGGGTCCTTTATAATAGTGTTTTGTAAATCCAACACAGTCTCAAAGTGTTTCAGGATTTTTGCAGGCAATTGATGCTTTAAGATGTCTGATTCATTTCAGAATTGGTATTTTGCATGCGAGAGGAAAATAAATGTCCGAGAGAAACCCCCCAACCCCATGCAAGCGAATGCTTCTCAAATGCATGCCCAGACAGGTCAGAAACCCACTTGCTGTACTGCCACATCCTTCGCACCACCGGTTAGCACGGTTGGCTATGTACGATGCGAAAGTCGTTCAACATACATACATCCTGGTTACCTTGTAGGCTAGCAGGTTTAGAGTCTCATGCATGATGATGATGATACTTATGCACAATTCAGCTGACATAAATAAACGTGGGGTGGGGGATTGCTTCCCGGGGCTGCCCATTCCACTCCACAGGGACGGTGCGCCCCATTAAGGAGCACCTACAGAGCCAGCTGCGGCCCGACGTGATAGGCGTCATGCAGCAGGTGGAATTTAAGGAGCGGAAGCTCGTCTGGAGCAGCCTCACCCACCACTGGTAACTATTCTGATGCACTCGGCAGGTCTCGTCAGGACATATGAAGGGCAATGCAGTCCTTCGGATGTTTAAACAAAAATACAGTAAAACCTTGGATTGCGAGTAACTTGGTCTGCAAGTGTTTTGCAAGACGAGCAAACATTTTAAATAAATATTAATTTGATAAACGAGCGAGGGTCTTGCAATACGAGTAGTACGTATACACGCTTTGTCTGCCGAGCGTCACGTGATCACAACTGATATATGAGTGCTTTGGATTAAAAACACGTTTCCGGAACGAATTATACTCGCAATCCAAGGTTTTACTGTATATCGAATGGTTTTCCAGATCTGACATTCACCAAATCGATCAAACCCACACAATAAGCAAATAAGGTGAAACAACATAATAGAGCCAGCAGATCCAAATTAATTGTCGTACAGCTGAACACATGTAACGGATTGATATGAATGAAATATGACATGCGATGACGCTCGGTGCACGTGTGTAACGCTTATATTCGAATTTAATGTGAATTCTAATCAAATCTGTATTACGTAGGGGTGACATGTAAAAAAAAATCACCACCCCGCTACACAACAAAGGCATGTGCTATGATGGATAGGAATGAGATGTGAGAGGCAAACATACATGACCAAGCAAATGACCAAGTGACTGGACCAATACAAGAGTGAGTTGTATCTAACTACCAAATTGCGCATCAGTTGATAGTACATCAAACTTAAGGAGAAAAATCTGAAATCAAAGCCCACACGTGTCCCAGGAGACACAGGTCCCTCCACACTTCGGTAGACCCTAGGACGTCGTGTGACGAATTGTGGAAGAACTCCCCCTGCCCCTCTAGGCACCTGACCCGAACTGCACTAAGGGGGCCCCAAAACACTGAGGCATCCGTTGATTGATGAATGTAATATTAATATATTTACAAATAATGCAATTTTACATTTACACCAACGGATCGAACTTGAAGAGCGCGATACATTGCAGCAAGCACGACAGTCGGAGTGAAACAAAAAATACGTGATTCTTTTATCAAATTGCGACCCGGAATCATAAAAAGAACATTAAAATTGCCTGAGACGTGAATCGTTACATCCTTAATATTGACACATTTCTAGTTTATATCTCTTTATACGTAGTTTTCTTTCTCATTAAGCATCGCTATTCCCATCTGTGTCCTCCTCCATCATGCAATGCACACCCTAATGCAGGAACAACACGGAACATGTGATCCACACGCGGACAGACATGGTGCCATTTGTCCTGGAGGGCACGGGACCAGGGGCGGCCAGCGTGCGTGTGCGGAGTCCCCAGGAGGCGAGCGGCCTCTCGCTGGAGCCCGTGGCCGAGTCCTTTCAGCCGTCAACGGGCACGTGGGGCGAGCTGCTTGGGCTGCTCAGCGGAGAGCGGCCCCGCGGGGTGCTGCAGGTCGCTCGATCTCACCCCACAAGCATTGTCATCACCGCCGTCTCTAATTTATTGTTTACACTAATTTTATTTACACATTGCCGAGCCTATCTCAGGGTTGTTTTCCATTCGCTATTTGCCGAGCCTACCCAGAAACAAACCATGATACATTGCCCTCACAAGACATCCGAATCTAGCTTGTGGCCAAGCAGGGCCAGGGGCAGAGAATGTCACGTTCATTCTTTGTGACGTCAGTGTGCTGAAAGGTAACAGCATTTTTGTCTTGTTTGTCTTGTGAGTGCATGCAAATGTGCTTGTATGTGTGCATGTTTGTGTGGGGTAACCCAGCAGTTAGCGTGCTGTGCTATGAACCCAGCAACCCGAGTTTTATTCCTATTCACGCCCAACACCAGTGACAGTTATCTGAAACGGTCCTGGGCCTTCCCTAGGTCGACTAAGCCTCAAATGAGTACCTGGTGCTGTGTGTAAACATAGCGATTAGGTAGCCATGCGTGGTACTGGTCACCCACCCCCTCGTGTACCGTGGCGGTCTTCATAGGTGGTCGCTAACATGATTTGCCCCAACAAGTATGTTAAGGCGATACGGGGGATCGTTTTCTTTGTGCGCGTGTTTGTGCGTGCGTGTGCGCGCATGCGCCAGGTTGAGCGCCTGCTGCGCGTGGGAGCAACTCTGACGGCTGTGGGGGAGGTGGCGCTGGGTGAGCATGGGGCCCCTGAGGTGCGCCCCCCGCGGGACGGTGCCGCCTACCTGCTGAGCGCGGCGGCGGGCGGCCTGCGGGCCCTGGTGGAGCAGCGTCGCTGGAGCATGGGCATGTGGAGGTTCGGGGCTGTCACCTGCACGCTGCTCACCCTGGCACTCGCCCTCTGGGTCCTGCGCAGGATCTACCGCCGAGGTAGTGCCCGCACTGTGGCAATACATAACCTTACAACCACAATGCTACATTACCACGTGACTAAACACACTGAAACTAAACTATTGTTTATTTTAGCAGGTAAGGCTCACTGAGCTATATAGCTCTTTTTCAGAAGCGACCTGGCCACAAATTAGCTCAACGAAGTGGCTTATCACGTGCAAAATTACTGTAGCCAAATTAATCTAAACGAATGTTTCTAAATGTGGAGGGAAAAACAGGAGGACCCGGAAAAAAATCCACGCAACCACGGGGAAAGCGACACGCAAACTCCTAATATAGAGCACAGTCTTATCCCTACGACATCTACTTTACAATGCTACGATCGTGAAAAATGATACGGCTGCAAGCCTTAGAGGTCAACCTTAAAATCACTATCCCGGCTCAACTGTGCTCATTGTATGAGAATCTGATGAGATTGGACGCATTCCAGGTGATGTGGTGGTCAGAGTACTTTTTAACGATGGTATTAATAATTCCGAATTTCGACTCTTTAATTGACAGTGGTGAGGAACCACTCTGCTATCACGTAAGAATGTAATGAATCACCCTCTCACTGATATTCACTGAGTTGTCATTTAGTTTGAAATTAATTCACGAATTAATTATGTTTCCTTGTCTAGTGTTATTTGTCATCTTGTTGTTAGATTGTCATTCGGTCCAATAGTACAATCATAATGTTTCCAGATATGTTCATGAATTGTAAGTCATCTCTTCTTGCACGAGCAATTCCATGCATTAATGTGAGCATAACGATTTATGTAATCAATAATTACATGCCAACCTGCTGTCCAGCTTCCTCTTGCAAACTCGAGCATTAGCGAATTCTCACCCACAAACTTGCGACCAGTGAAAAGTGAATCCAGCAGAGGGCATACAATGTCCAAGCAAACAATGGTGGCAAAAACTCCGATGAGAAACTTGTGTTACCGGCGACAAGACGTGGGCCCACTAATGGACATCAAACGCCACTCTTCAACATGGCTCTTAATGATTCTCAGTGGCTGCCCATCCACCAACTGGCCAAGCCTTGCCTCGTTTAGCATAGGACATACCTGTCATGATCAGGGTGTAATTGGAGGCATTTGGATTTAACTGTGGTATTTATTAATTTACCATGAATTTTGGCAAAATGAGAGACGTGGTGAGTCAGGGTTTAGATAGAAGGGATTAACATAATGGTAATTTTGATGAAGGGTATGAGGAGCGGGTTAGAGGTAGGGCTATACACAGGTTAATGTCTATATAGGCTGACTTGAGTGACTTACAGTGCACCGTACACGCACAGTGGATGCATCATCACCATGCCAGTGTTTTCCGTTGTTTCATATCACATCGTTACCTCCTTGTGGTGCCGCCTCCCACAGCCCGGGAAGAGAGGCGCTGGGACAAGCTGAGACGCGAGCAGGAGGCCGAGGTGGCCCGGTTGGCCCCCGAAGACGGGGCGGGTGGGACGGAAGGGGACGGGCGGCTGCCGTGCGTGGTGTGCCTGAGCGCGCCGCGCGGCTGCGTGCTCCTTGACTGCGGCCACGTGTGCTGCTGCTTGCCATGCTACCGCGTGCTGCCACGCCCCGTGTGCTGCCCCGTGTGCCGCTCGCCCGTGTCCCGCATCGTGCCTCTCTACCACTCGTAGCGGAGCCCGGTTTGCGGGCTGTGCTCGCACACCATATTTGTGGTACCACACCACAGTTACCAAACTGTACTAACGCAGCATACCATGGCACCACTGGGACATCACAGCAACTATACATCGCCATTCTGTACCACAATGCTATCACATCATACCACATCACCTCACCACACGGTGCTACCACAGCAGACCACCACAATGCCCTGAAATCTCAGTTGGGGTTTGACTAATTCCACCTTGCCTTCATAGGGTATAAATTATGATATTCTGGGAAGTCAACATTGGCTTATCTCTGGATAGAATTGCTTCGTCATAGGAACGTGGAATTGGCTCAGGAATACGAACAGAAATGAACAAGTATTAACCAGTTGCTCGTTTGAACACGTGATTGAATAAAACTGCTGCTGTCAAATAAGACCAAAACTTCACAGTTGAGTTTGACATAATGGTCCCATGTGCACGCATATACGTGTAACGAACACGATTATGTTCATGGGAAGTGTGGGCACTTCAGCCGTTTATTAACTCCTTCCAACTAAGGTGTAAGCATTTGTGCAGCAGCTGTCTATTTATCCGTACATTGGTCCTTCTATAATGGGGTGGGGTGGCACGTCAACTCTTGTAAAGATAATCCAATATTAAGGAAGTTTTAGTATAAACTTGTGTTGAAATTTGGGAATTATCATTTTCAAAACAGGCCAAATTAGTGAAAGCGTTGCCCAAAACTTGGAGACAGAACTCGTAGCAAGAAGTAATTTACAAATACCCAAATGCATTTTGCGTTTAGGGTTATGGCAAATGCATTTTGCCCTGACTGCTACCCATCAGCTTCCATAACTGTTCATTAAATACTTCCAAAGACAAATGCATGTTGGAAAATATTATCGAATCCATGCCTATACATTATTTTTTCTTTTTTTATAATTGAGACGATTTTACGACAGCAGGGAGATCATACTCATTCGTACATTAAACCCTCTTTTGCGTTCTTGAAAACACTCTTGCGAATGCAGAAACCTTCCAATGGGAACAATGGGGTTTACGTTCCTGGTACTAGTGAACATGGGGGGAAATAGTAAATGTTGAATAACAATGACTACAATAAATAATACATTATCTAGAACAATTATTTGAATTGCCTTTGATGATGATTTGACTTAAATGGAGGTGGTGGTGAAGGTGTTGAATTCCGGAGGATGACTCCTGGGGAGATGCAGGTGTTTGAAAACATTGCACAGTTATCATTTAAGCACTCTGAGGAGCATTAGCCGCAACACTTTCCCGGATTGTTTTCCCGTTATTTTTAATGGACCCGACAGTCGACTCGTTTATACCAAAATGTGTTAACGAGTGGACTAAGCACGTATAAAGAAAAAAATGCACAAAGAGCGAGTTCAGAACGGGATTGCTGCGAGACGGAGGACTAAGTGGGCGGCCGAGGGAGCGTGACTAATCCTCGCAGTGTAAAATGTTTAATTCTGCACGCACCTCCCCGGTGTCGGTGGTCTGGCACGACGTCCACTCGCGAATACTGGAGTCCGGTGGGTCGCGAATAGGGAATTGATATGCATTTAGTAACTCGCGAATATGCAAAAACTGGCGGATTCACAACTCGCGCATAGCGAGGGTTTATACTAGTCTGAAATTACCTCACTTTAGCGATGGACTTCGGTTTGCACCAATGAGAGGAAGTGGGGGTGCAGGAGACAAGGTGGACAATCATGTATGCAGCACAAACCGCAATTCCGCCCATGAACCCACTACATTTTAGACACCTGTCTGCAGGATAAGCATGCCAATTGGAGTTATAAAATCCCCGTTGGATGCATATTTATCTCGATAGTGTAGCAGTTAATGTGATGTGTTATGAACCTGGAAACTCGAGTTCGATTGCCCTTCACAGTCAACATCAGTGACGAATATCTTAACTGGTTCTAGGCCTCCCCTAGGTCGACTCGGCTTCAAATGAGTACCTGGTGCGGTGTGTAAGCATCGCTACTCGGGGACAAAGGCGGCCCAAGGCGGGTTGCTGGACACACCCAATGGCGGAGCCAGGATTTTCAGCTAGGCGGTGCAACCCCTCCAGCAAAGAAAAAAATGATAGGAGTTGTTAGTAAGTAAGGACTTATCCCTTGCCGTTTAGTTGACGCGTGTGCAGCGATGGCGCAGCCATCGATCGAGGGTCGAATTCGAACCGCGTTGTGTGATCGGCATCGCGCTCGCTGAAGGTGATTGCCTTCAGGGAATTCGTGTACTGCATACGCAACTGCGCACAATTCTGTGAGTCACTTATAACCGCTTTGCCATTACTTATTGCCAATTATGCACTCAGACTATCATCTCATAGAGTCCCTGGCACAATAATATGCTGCACAGTGGCACTGAGGGTCGCAAAATGCCGATTTATTACTAATAAACCCCAATAAACCGATCGAAATTAGGGATTTCGATCGGATCATTGGGGCGGCACGTGCCACCCCACCCCCTACTGGCTCCGCCAGTGTGGACACCCACCCCCTCGTGTGCCGTGCCGGACTTCATAGGTGCTCGCCAACAGCACTTTCCCCAAAAGGTCTGTTAAGGCTATACGGGAGGTCTTTGTCTTGCATGTGGCTAGCCATGTATACATTTGGTCTTGCGGTTGTGGAAGAGGAGTGTGCCAGGCTTCCTTTCGCAGGGCATCGATGGCAGCACTGTGCATGTACACGTAAGCCCATGTTTTATTAATCCACTGCTGGATGAGGCCACACCATGCCGTACAAGAATTGTAAGGTGGAGGATTTTCCATGGCATCTGTCGGACGAGCAATCCTTTCATGCACATTTTTTACGAAGCAGTAGTGAAGGATCGCTGGAATGAGGTCACAGGGCAAACCAGGGTTTTTTGTATTAATGCCCACTGGTAGGAGATCAGAGGACAAATCATCTCCCCTTCCTGTGGCGATTTGGAAGGATCCTCCTGAAAAAATGTCATGAAACTCAGTGAAGCCTCTCCTGGGTAAATTAGTATAATAAAAGGCATGTTCTAATTATGTTTGGTGAAGTGTAGCTAAAGGTAGATTTTGGAAAATGACCAGGTTATATATTAATGGGGTCGTGGAGAGTAACTCATGAGAGGTGTTGGAAATGATGATGTGGATGGAGTGAAGGCCAAAGATGCCAGTTGTACAATGCCGCATTGCTCACGATCGCCCTCAACAGAGTCCAATTACCGACGGCAACATGCCTCGGCTACAGCAGATATAATAAAACAATATTACATACAGATATTCCTCACTTTATGCGGGTTCGATTTGTGCGATTTCACGTAAATGTGGCGAACTTATTTATACACAATTCGCGATGTGGTCGGACGTGGGACAACATTGTGTGTGTTTCTTGTATGCGCTACTCGGCAGGCCGCTGTCTCGTGCGGTTTCGCTTTGTGTGCCCTTATTTTGGAACGCATCTCCCATATAAACAGAGGACATCCTGTTATACGTAAAACTTATACAAAGGTTTTCTTGACATGAGCTGCACCACCGCTCAATTCTTATATTGAACTTATTTCGCATTGTACGTAGGTGCGGGGGAAGGACAACAAACTAAACACAAAAAGCAGTTCTAAAGAAATTCGTTTTCAATCTGCATTTTAAAAAGATAGAGCCGAGTCTCCTGTGTAAATGCTGCTGAGAGCCCATAGGCCTGACGTTCATTGTATATCATACGATGTTGGTAAATTACTTTATTCATTAAAAAATGGGACACTGACATTTAGACGTCTCTCAGGGTAAGTTCAAATGTATCCTGCAAATATATCAACGGAAGACCATTCTTTCGTCTGAAAGAATTTTGTTATTTATTCAGTTTGAATAAGCTCTATGTGGGTCATGTTTATTTTCTGTGCTTTATCAGAAGTATGTATAAATGTAAACATTTTCACACGCTCCCTAAAATCTATATGATTTTCCCCACTTGGTATCACGTAAAAATTAAATCAGACACTTAATACTGTGCAGGTGAATTGAGTTAAATATACTAAGACGTACAATGAAATATAAGTGGGACTGCTTTTTTTCTTACAATAATTGATGGTGACCATGATGTTGGTGGGGGTATTTTTATATTGTCCTCCAATTTCTTAACCGTTCTCGAAGTCGAATCATTCACACGGATGCAGCACTCTCACCTCTCGCAAGCGTATGCAACAACCTCACTTTTCTCTGCCTTTTCTCACTATAATCACCACCACTCAATGTACGCTTAGTGGTCATGATTAAACATCGTCTAAGGGCGAATCGAGCGAAGAAAGGTCACGAGATTATCAACACAACATCGCGGACGATGTGTATGGGATGCTGGAAATGCACGTCGTGAAACTGCACGAGTGGTGGGTGGGGAGGGAAATAGCGACGAGATGCATCCGCAGGATATACAGCAATTCCACGCGGGCCCTGTTTTCTTTGCATCCGCGGTATTTATGTATCCACAGTTTTCCAAAGGCATACCAATTTGCTAACCGCGGTATGGACTTTTGTGTATCCACGGTTTATTTAGCACGGCGACTGGCACTTGCAATTTCAAATCACCCGCATCTGTGTTGCCTCCTTGCAATCACTCTTGATTTGAAGCTTTCGTGACTGCAGGAATCCATACTGTTTGGTGCTTTCGGTAAAGTCACGTAGGTAGAGAGACTCAGAGCTCATTGGAGCGGCCACAGCAGATTCGGTATCCATCAGGTATTCATTTAAAATAATGTAAATGTTGTCCTAAAAAACTGTTTAAATATAGCAAAGTTACACAGCCGTGCCCAAGGAACCATTTCACCCATCCCCCAAGAGCTGTTTCGATCTCTGGCTCAGTCCCCTTTATATAGGCGGGGCGGGGAGGGGGCTCTTCCTTAATTATTCCATTAATCACCCCAGCTGTTACCCAGTTACCACGCCACGCAAGCAATCATCCTGGGTGTGCGTCCACATACCCAACCAACTGGCTCGCCCCTCCAATCCCACACAATGTCACCCCCCCCTCCCCCCAGCCATCTCCAGAAAGGTGTGAGCACAGATCACACCGCTTAGAACATCCATCTCCCCCAATCCCTCACCAACGTCATCATTATCACCATGGACTTAAACCTTCAATATTAGGGTTAAATCACGTCATTTTATTGTTTTTAATTATTTTAACATTTATTGATTTGTATTATTTTATTGTGTACAGTATTTTATGTGTTTAGAGAAGGAACAGGCAACTTAGTTCGCCTTTGAAGAGTGTGACCACGGCCGCTGTTACCCCAACCCCCGATTTCCCAAAAAGGCTTGAGTATTGCCAACCGCGTTGCTGCCAACCGCGGTCGTTTTCAGGAACATAACCCCCGCGGTTGGCGAGAGATTGCCATAGTGCTGTAATGGCTAGTATATGACATCAGATGCAAATTAGTATCGGTACACAATTTCTAAGTCCTAGCTGAAAATGTGCTCTACATGTGTAGGGGTGCTATGGGGATTAAACACATGGCACGGGAAGGTGTGGTTCACCCACACCTTGGTGGCTACAACAACGTCCACTAAGGCTCCACCCCCTGTGGGTATAAAGTGCGGGGGGAGCCAAGGAGCTTGGGGCAGAGTGTTGGGCCCGAGGCTGAAGCAACCAGTGAAGAAAGAAGGCCAGCTAGGTGAGACCCTGGAACTCCTGTGACCGCTGCCCTTTTCAGGGCCGGCACAGCAAGCCAGTGGTGCGGCCCCAGAGCCCCAGAGCCAGAGTCCTTCTAAGGGCCGGTCTGGTCGGCGGGGTGGCGAGATCTGATAGCCTCCCTTAGAGCCCTACCAGGAGGAACTGGGAGCCTAGAGCTTAGGCTAGAGGGCCTGGGGTGTGTTCCTGAGTTATACAGGTAAAGGGGCCGCTACCCCTTCTACTGTAACCCTTGTTAAGGTTTAAATAAATAGTGCTGCTTCTACTCTGCCGTCTCCGTGTCCTGGAACCCACTACAACTGGTGTCAGGAGTGGTCTTAAATGGACACAAGGAGTACAAACCGATCACAGGAACCCCAGGAGGAGGACGGCTCACCTGGGATTGCGCCAGAGGCCGCGCCCGACGGTCCTGGGATGCCCCAGACGCCCCAACAGCAGCCGCCGCTGGAGGAGTGGCCGCCGGTGGAGGACGGGTTGCAGGCGGCTCACGCTCGACTGACTGAGTTGCTGTACGCCGCGGCTTCCACGCTGGAGGAAATCAACCGCGCGGGGCTGCGGGCGCAAAGACTTGCCGTTTGGCGCGGGGGCGGGGGGGGGGAGTTTACCTATTGATGGTGTGAAAAGGGAATTTATAAGAGCTGCGAAAGTTTGGGGTACCACTACTTGAAAAATATACTGTACCATTGAAATTAGTTTAATGTTTAGTTCGATTTAGAACATCTTTCCAATGGTTGCTTAATTTGAAACCATCTTCTCGGTTGAAATTGTCTGTGTTTGTAGATCTGAATTGCCTCGTGAACAAATCTCTGATAAAAACCCGTGGGTTTGCAAAGAACCTTGGTATCGGAGAAAATTAGATCGTGATCACCTACAGCGTTGTAACAGTGATCAGCCACAGCAGAAGAATTCGTTTTGCCGTGTTTCAAATATGATTTGTGCTCGCGAATTCGGTCAGAGACATGTCGCTTTGTCTCCCCGATATAGCAATCACCGCAGGTACAACTCAATTTGTAAACCCCGGGGTACTGTAAGTCAGGAATGACATCCTTCACGGATGGGATCAGATCACGAATTTTGTGTACTGTATTGAACCGGACCTGGATCTTGTGTTTGTTTAGAATTTTGGAAATCTTTTTAGTAACGCCTGATATATATGGTAGTGTGATGGTTTTAACCGGAGTATCAAGTGGTTGTTTCTGTATGGAGGGAGAAACAGCTTGGTGGATGGTACGGTCAGAGTAACCATTCCTTTTGAGGGCCAGGTGTACATGTTTTAATTCACTGGTCAGGTGGTGTTGGTCTGAAATGCAATGAGCCCTATGGTATAAAGTTTTGATGAGATAATTCTTTTGGGCTGGGTGGTGGTGGGAATCAGGTTTCAAGTAGGAATCTGTGTGGGTGGGTTTCCTGTAGACAGAATGCCCTAATGAGCCATCAGGTCTCCTCTCAAACAGAACATCTAAGAATGGTAGCTTGCCATCTTTCTCCACTTCCATGGTGAATTTGATGGCAGGATGTCTGGAATTGATGTGGTGTAGGACTGGGAGGCCATGTGGTCAAATGACGAAAGTGTCATCCACATATCTCTTCCACAGGGAAGGTCTGAGGGTGGAAGTCTGGATGGCGTCTGATTCAAATTTCTCCATGAAAATATTGGCTATCACTGGTGACAAGGGGGATCCCATGGGGGTACCCCTTTGTCAAGGGGTGCCTTTGCGGATGTGTATGCTTTAACTTTAACATAGCCATTTTTGTGACCAGTCACAAGCTAATCACTCAGCCATTTCAATGCTAAATTATATGCTAATTCCTTTGTCAAGGCGCTTTGTTTCTTCTCACACAGCTTAAAGGTCGTGATCTGAGCGTGGCTTTTTTCACTCCAGCGCTGTCCTCCAGACAGTCTCGTCCCTTCACCTGATGAAGGCCGCTTGTGTTGTGGCCGAAACGTCGTGACTTTTGTTATTTTATTTTTTACCTACGTGACTTTACCGAATAGAACCAAACAGTATGGATCCTTGCAGTCACGAAAGCTTTAAATCTAGAAGTGTGGGGTTTATCTGGGGTCAGCCTGAGGAGACGGCGGAAACAGTGGGGTCGTGTTAGGACAGCCAGGTGAAGAGGCTGGGGTGATGAGGTAACGGTCGGGCCAATTAAGCCAGAAGGGCTGTGATTGGTTGGTGCTGTTGCTGGGGCCGAGGAGGCGTCGAGGTGTCTGGAAAAAGGCAGGTGGTTGAAGACGCGAGGCGTGCGGAGGCATGCGGACCAATTAATTAGCGATAATGAGAATGGGGATAAATTGGGAGGAGACAGAGAGAGGAGGAGAGATTGGAGTTGGGAGCTCTGCGGTGAAGACGTGGAGTTAGGAAACAGAGTTTAGAAGAGAGTTGGAGCATGGTGATAGCGAAGCCGAAGCAAGACGAAGCAGTTAGCAGTGGAGTGAGCATAGTGATAGCGAAGCCGAAGCAAGATGAAGCAGTTAGCAGTGGAGTGAGCATAGTGATAGCGAAGCCGAAGCAAGACGAAGCAGTTAGCAGTGGAGTGAGCATAGTGATAGCGAAGCCGAAGCAAGATGAAGCAGTTAGCAGTGGAGTGAGCATAGTGATAGCGAAGCTGAAGCAAGACGAAGCAGTTAGCAGTGGAGTGAGCATAGTGATAGCGAAGCTGAAGCTAGATGAAGCAGTTAGCAGTGGAGTGAGCATAGTGATAGCGAAGCTGAAGAAGACGGAGCAATCAGCAGTGGAGAGAGCGTAGGAATAGAGTTGAAGACGTGTGTGCGGAGGAGAGCGACGTGATACTGGGAACCAAGGTGGTGAGCGAGACGGGCGAAGCACGGCGAGCGAGCGGGGTGTCCAGGATACGGTGGAGTGTGGAGAACGTGTTAACGATGAAAATAAAGAAGTGGTTGAAGATAGACAAAAGTTGTTCATGTAAAGTTCAACCACTACACATGTACAAGAAACACGTGTATAGTTCTCCAGGAAGGAATGATTTATTTTTTTGTCATCGGCTCCAGGACAATTCTTTATCGGGTCATAGCGTGGGTGACAGAGGCTTCGCTCTTATTCACAATATCATACAGACGTCAATGTCTCACTTTGCAGTTTGGAAACACAACTTCGACACCCAACACTGCACACCAGTAATAGCAAGGCTCTACGC